CTTTCTTGTCTGCCGCAGGAGGAGGCCTGGCTCCTAGGAGGGTTCTGGGGGGCCTCTCCTTGGCGAGAAAGGTGCTCCTCCTGACGGCGAGACCTAGCTCGCTGTGAGGTTGGGTGCCGAGGGGGGAGCTACGGCTGTTGAAGTTGAGGTTGAGGTTGCTGAGGGAATTGCTGCTTATCTTGGTACTAGGAGAACTGGTGTAGCACCTGTTGCTGATAGAGTTGGAATTGTTGAAACTGTTGCATTTGAGCTTGCATGGCTCGCATGCACTGCACCAAGTCCTCCAGTTGGTTTGGCTTGGCCGCTGGGGGTACAATCGAGGGTTCAGTGAAGGTTGCTCCGACTGTGGTAGGGAGTGGAGCAACGACGGGTGCCCCTGTAAGAGGCACGTTCAAACTAGGGATCCCGTCCGCCGAGAGAGGGACGGTGAACTGTCCGATGCAGACAGTAGGAAGTTGGGGCTGTTCCCTGGAGTTATCCATCTCCATGCTTCGTCCGATGTTGCTTGAGGAAGCCATGAGTGTTGAGTTTTCAAGGAAGAAAGAGTTGTGAAGGTTTAGAGAAGTCTTTTCGAAGTGTTTCCCACAGACAACGCCAAATGATGTAGCGCGATCCGGTCACTCCTACCTGGCACTCACGTGGCTCCTGGAAGATACCTGAGATGGAGAAGAAGAAGAATCCTCGGGGGCTTACCCGGCGAGAACACTCCGATGCTTAAGTTAGTACTCTGTAGGAGAAGCAAGGAGAAGACGAAGGCTAAGAGTGTAGATAACGCAGGTGTAGAAGATGATGATACTTGTCCTCCTTGATATTAAGTTCCTTATAGCTGAAATCCGTTGCCTCTGGCCCCTTGGCTTCTGACAAGGTGGGTATAACCGCCACTGTCAACCTGCCGCAGCCGTTATTGGCAGGGCTGAGGTGGCACGCGCTGGGCCGTCACTGCAGGGTACGTGCCTGTCGGGTGTAAGGCACCTTCTAAAGGTGGCAGGCACGACGCTACCTGACGAGGGACATGGCTGCTATCCCCAGATTTGTCGGGTACAGTGGTCGGGCAGGAGATCTTCCTGCGATATGCCGGACTACCCTTTCGCGAGTTACCCTGTGCTGGGCTATCTCGTAAGCGGCGAACTGGCAGCTCTGGGTGCCTTAGCCCTGGGGAGGGGGTGTAGGCCAGGCGGCTCATTCGCGAGCTAAAGTTGCCTCGGGGTATTCCTTCAAGGGTAGCTCGGGGAACCCGGAGCTCGCATCGTGACGAGCTTCTCCTGTTGTGGGCTACGATACAGCGAGCTGCTTTATGGGCCCGTCACTAGGCTATAATGCTGAGCTGTTGCTCACGCTGAGTCAGTACCCACGTGTCATTGTTTCATAGGTCTGGTCAAACCATCCTCCATCATATATATATATATATATATTTCAAAACTTAGAGTTTATAGCAATAAGGCCAAAATGGTCTTATGAAAGTTAGAATTAATAGAATTCTAAAAACAAAGTCTTGAAATCTAAATGTATAGAATAGTGCTCTTCGGAAATGAAAGTTTGGCGATAAGGTTCTATTTGCAATAAGGTTCAAAGTATCTAAACGATTAAGTGTATAGAAAAGATCAATTTAAGAGATGTATCAGAATATGTCTTGGATATACATGTATACTGATGAAAAATTAAGATACGCATAGAAATATTATAGATCAAGGTTTTAAAAACCAACCTGGACACCAAATTGCTTTGGCTACCGGTTTTTGGGTTATCAGTTTGACCAACTAGGTCGAACAGGTTGAAATGGTCAAGGTAACTTTTGCATCTTGACCATTGAATTAGAATATTAGGTCAGGTTAAGAAGAAATATAAATAGAGAGGAGGTATGTCAGCTGGGAAAGGAAAATGAAGAAATAAAATGAAAGAAAAGAAAGGAGGAGGAGGAGGAGGAGGTGGTGGTGGTGGTTCAACTGCGATGATAACAACGGTGATGGTGGCAGCAACAACGACAATGGTATTAGATAGCAACAGCAAGCCAGCGATAGCAAATCCGACCTTAGGTCTACTAGATCTTAGATCTGGCAGATCCCTTTCACTCACTCACTCTCTCTCTCTCTCTCTCTTTCTCTCTCTCTCTCTCTCTCTTGTCTCAATGATCTCAAAATTGAGATCTGAGAACTGATATCTCTATCTCAGATATGAGATCTCCTCTATTTACACTACTTAAAAGTTAAATAAAACCATGAACCGCTGCCCAAGTTGAACAGTTTAGCGGTTCGACAGCTCGAGTCAGCAATTCTTTGACCATTCCAACATTCTTTGAGAATTAACAATCCTAAGAAAAACTGGACCAGAGATATGACTGGTTCCCAGTTCGAATGGTCCAACTGCCCAGTTTGGTCCGGTTTTGAAAACCATGCAATAAATACTCTTATAAATCATTACAAATACATCAATAATATTAAATATAAGGCCTAAATTAATGAGTTATTTATACATAAAAATCACATCCTTTAGTGATTATTATGATAGAATATATCATGATCAATATACGGGAACATAACAGTATTCTTTAATAATGTTATAACTACGAAATATAAACCTAATAATTATTGGTTGATGAAATATTTTCTGTAATTTTTTAAACAATTATTTATTTCTTATTCAAACAATTATTTTATTTTTATTAAAAAATGTTTTAAAAATTAAAAATAAAAATGTAACAAAATATAACTCTATGGATGTGATAAATCATCCATAAATTTACAACATGGTAAATATTATGGTTAGATCACCCAAAAAATAGAAAAAATAAATATTTTTGTTTTATAAATAAAATACTTCTTCCATACTAAAAATGAAAAGAAATATTTTTTATTCTAAAAATTACAAGAAATTTCAATAGATATATGGATATGGTAGACTGCCCATAGATCTATGATGTAATTATTCTTCATGGGAAAATTACACCAAAAATATAATTTTTTTATTATTTTTTATTTTCTGAATTATCTTCAAAAATTACATAGATCTATTTAAAGTACAAAAAATATAAGATTTTCAACACAAGGAGAGTATATCAATGTATATAGAAGAATTTCCATGCACTAAAACAAAAAAAAACCAAAATATTGCAACATATTATAAAATAAATTGAAAAAACACCTATTTTTGCAATTTTTGAGAAAAGTCTAAAAATTTTAAAAATCTTGTGTTTTGGAGGTTGTTTTTAGGGTTTTCTTAAAGATCATGCAATCCAAGATTATGTAGGGATGATTTGGTAAATTTGAAAAAGAAATAAAGCTTTTGGAGAGAGTTAGAAGTCTTTTTTTTTCAGGTTTTTAATTTGTTTTTAGCTTATAGGAAAGTCATATTGTGTTGGCCAATACACCCCAATATGACTAAGATACGGTCCTGATACACCTCAATACAACCCTGATACAATTATGATACAGAGTTAACATGACCAAAAAAGACATGATACAAAGGATTTTGTAACATTTCTTGTGTCGACCCCTTAAATATACACTATCTATTGACCGATATATTGCAAAATTTTGAACCTTGTAAACGAAGTCATATTAGGTTTTGGTTGGATCAAGTAATGTAAGGCTAGGCAGGGTTTGGAACTGATGCAGTTTTCTTAAAATGGAGTTACATTAGCGTCACGTCTGAAATCTGTTTTTTAAATCTAAGACTAGGCAGTGTATGGTTATACGTTTTTCTGAAAAAACGTTTTTTTTTACCATATCTTAAAAATCGTAAAATGTATGATATAAGAGAAAACAACTTATTTTTTTGGCATTTTCTTATTTTTTTACTATTGCTAGTAATAGTATGCTGATGTGGCATTCAATATGCTGACGTGGCAGCAACCATCACCAGCCCCAAACCAAAAAAAAAAAAAAAACTGAGAAAATGGCATACCAATGTGGCATCATTTTCTCAGAAAACACATTTAGGAAACGACATTAATTTCAAACATAGCTTAAGGGTTTGCACCGTAATTTGGATTCATAATATTTTCTAACCCTGACCTAACCTGAAGTGCAACCTGATCCAGTCCGACGAGTCCCAAGTCCCAACTCTCATGTTTGCAGCAGTACTGTGCATGCGGCGCGTAAGACCTAGAGTGTCAGTCTCTGCGCTCTCTCTCTCTCTCTCTCTGATACCAAAAACCAAAAACAAAAACTGTTCTCGGTGGGTCTGTACTCTGTACATCAATATCTAATTTCAACTCAACTCGGGACTTCAAATGATCTGCTGAGAAGTAACTATTACGATTTGAAAAAAAAATATTACGAATTTACGATTGAGTTCGGTTTGCATGGCATAGCTCGGTTCTGGCGGTCTGATCCGGCGGTGGTGGTCGAATTTTAACTTTTTGTTTTGAATTTTTGGCGGCAAAATACTTTCTATCATTTGTTCAATTTCCACCGATTTGCTGTTACTACTTGCTACATACATACATATACACAAGTATCTGTTGGGATATGGCATCCAAAACTTCCCACTAAGGACAATTATATTCTCATTGTTGGACCAAGCTCTAACAAACGACTCCTGGACCCACCCAAGTGCCAGGGAAAGCCTCTAAGCGTTGGATGAGCATCAGAGAGGAAAGCTGACGTGGGCGATGATAACACCTTCAGGGGAAGTCAATAATTTTAGTGGGACGCGCCAAAATAGTTTTTTTTTGGCGGCAATTTGGCGGGTGGGATGGGCTTTGGGGGAGGAACTGGGAACAAATGTTTAGGATCAAGGGTATTTTCGTAATAAAGAAAAAAGAAAGCCCAGCTAGGGTTTCGAGTTGTACTGGAACTGGGGTGGTAAAGGGCAGGGTTATGTATTGGTGTCGGTTCGTTTTTTTATTTCTTCATCTCCTCCTCTCCCTTTCTCGCTCTGCATGACTGCATGTCGGTTCCCTTATTTAGCTACCCACATTCCTTCCCGCTTTACTCTCTCTCTCTCTCTCTCTCGTCTTCCTGCCAACCGTTACAGCTTAAAGATCATAAGCCTTCTATCTCTCTTTCTCTCTGGTTTTAGAGGTTGACAATAAGGTTCCCTGTTCTGTTCTGTTTGATCACTGCTTCACTCAGTCAAGATCTGATCCATTTCCTTATATCCCAGCATCTCTCTCTGTCTCTGTTGCTCCAATTTACTATACTTATGCCCCGGGGGTCTCAGATCTCTTCCTTAAATGCAATAGTTCCTTTAACTGGAATTGTATTAGATCTTTTGTCTTTCTTACTCTCTCTGAGTCGCACTTCACTCTCTCTTGTTTCTTCTTGATAATGGTTGGAGAGGGTATCTTTGTAGCTTAAATAGTGTGTACGTAGATCAAGTGATCAACTCTACTTTGACGGGTCGACCCTCCTTTCTGGGTTTATTTTAGATCTTCAAAAGTGGTAATAGAGATGATGGATCTGAGTGAAAAGGTGAGTGATCATGACTCTGTATTCCTTGTTGGGTTTTCCATTTGCGGTGTATCATGTATGATGGGTGGCATACCCATTATTATTACTTTCGATTTGAGAGGGCTGATTGTGTTGCTTTCTATTCGAGTTTTCCTTTTCAGGCACAGGGATCGGGGTCTGAAGACATTAATACTTCATTGGAAGAAAGCCAGGCGAACGAACTCAAGAAGAGCTGCACAGATTGCCGAACGACAAAAACCCCTTTGTGGAGGGGCGGTCCGGCTGGGCCTAAGGTGATCATCGAACAAAAGCTATTTACCTCGTTTCGATTCTGGGGGTTGAAGTTTTGTTGGGTTTATCACTTTTGTCTTGATCTTATGTTGGTTTTTCCATGTGTATTCCATTCCTTTCCAGTCGCTCTGTAATGCTTGCGGGATCAGATACAGGAAGAAGAGGAGGGCTATCCTGGGTCTGAACAAGGGAGGATCGGACAAGGAGAAGAAAGAGAGCAAGAGTAGTGGCAGCAGGAATAACAAGCTGGGCGTATCGTTGAAGCAGCTGAATTTGCTGGCTTTGGGAAGAGAGGTTCTATTACAGAGATCGATGATAGCGAAGCAGAGGAAGTTGGGAGAAGAAGAGCAAGCGGCCGTACTGTTGATGGCTCTCTCCTGTGGTTCTGTGTATGCCTAAAACAGAAAACTAGTGGGAGAAAGAGCCCTAACCACAGCACCTTCCATTTTCTTTCTCACTCTACTTCTCTTTGCTTTTATTTTAACCCTTCTACCTTTTATTGTTATTTGTTTTTCTTTTCATTTTTGTTTTGTGACGAGAAGATTAGAATCTGAATTTTGAAGAAGAGATCAGATAGAATGGAGCTGAAGATTGAAGAGAATGGATGGAGCAAATCCATGTTTCGCTAATATAATATTATTGAGTTGTTTTTTCCCCTTTTTTTTGTGTTGATGGAGGATTAGGATAGAGAAAGAGAGAGAGATCAATCAGAAAATTTCTGAAATTTAGTGTATAATGATAATGTTGAGATACTATGGGGAATATATATTTTTCATGCTTTCTTATTCCTTTTTTTTTTTCAAGTACACCGATTAGCCCATAATCTACGGTTCACTAACTAACCATCACAACTACTATTTCCGGGTCGCGCCTGCGCATTTGTTTATATTTATTATAATTAATCACTTTTAGGATTTGTTTGTTTGTTTTCTACTTTTTTTACGGAATTCAACTTCCACCATTGACCATATCACCACAAATTTTCCTGGATTTTGTTTGTTAGGGCTTCTTTCTTTGCGCCTCTCTCTCGCTCTCTCTCTCTCCATGTTGTATGCGGAAGAATGAAACCCTGTATCTTTTGCAATCAAATACTCTGACACATATCATCCACCTATGCATTCGCTGTGCACATAACATCCAGTACATCTCTCTACATACATTGGGAATATCTACAGGATGTGTGTAGAGTTTTTACTTGCAAAGAATTCTTAATTCTGAAATCTTCGTAAGCAATATAAGAACAAGTGGCTAGGCTAGCTGTGAACTTGATCAAATGTTTTGATTTGTTATCTTACTTAAATTGGATCGATCCGATTCGGTTTGGGTTTATGTTGGACCACCAAATTTACGATCTTTTATAAGTCCATACCTCGGTTTGTGTTTGATTGATGAATTGATGTAAAGGAATAAAAATCAAGTGACAAAAGTCAAGAGAGCATACGCGAGCTTGTCCTGTAAAAGTAGCCATTTGTGCAAGAATTTAATATCCAGACTCCAGAGCTTTTGGGGTTCAATGGCTTAAATCTTGTTTGTGCGTGTAACCTCTTTTGTCTCTCTCTTTATCACAACTTTTAGCAGTGACGTGGCAGGAGCTGTTATATGTTTTAGGGTTCAGTGGTTATATACATACTTTATCAATCAATATTAGAAAGTGCATAGATGTTTTTCACATGACAATTTATGATGATTATGATGATAATAGTAAATAATATTAAATAATAAATTTTCAAAGTTTTTTATATTTTGATGCTTATAAAAGTTATTTTTATTTTTCACATTTATTTTTGTTTAATATAAAAAATATATGATATTAAAGAGGTGTCCAAATGTTTTTTATATTTTTTGTATTTTTTATACTTGTGTGTTTTTATATTTTTTTTAATGTTTATTTTTATTATTATTTAATTATGTCATCAAGGATTTAGCCATTTGAATTAAAAAGGTTGAATTGTTGACTTGCCACTAAATAGGAAAACAACTCTAGTTTTAAATTTGTATTTTTTCTATCATCAATATGGCTAATTAATATAGGTTTCAATGACAGAATGAAAGTTAATGCCCTAAATATAAGATTTAATGAGAGAATTAAATAAGGAGAAATGTAGTAATTACATTTTGTAGGTTCACAATTACCAAATTTAAAAATAGGGTATTCTAATCTAGGATTCAATGAATGTTAATTAGAATTAATATCTTAAACATAAGACTTAATGAGAGGAACTTGAATAAGGAGAAAAGTAGTTATCGAATTACATTTTTGTGCTTACAATTAGAAAATAACCAAAACGAAAATTGTGGTATTTTAGTCAAATAAAAGTTCTACACCTTCATTCACACTTTTAATGACATAAACATAATAATAGTTTATCCAAATTTGAACTTTGGGTTTCTCTCCAAAACCCCATTATGCATGTTATATTTATCTCTTTCCCCTTATCATTCAATTGATGGAGTGGAATTACTGAAATTAATTGGACTAGGTGTTTGGAATTCAATAGAGAAATGAAAATATACATACTACTAACGTTTTAAACTCGTTGATGACCTAGCTGGTTGAACCGTTCAAACTATCACCCGGCCTTGATTTTGGGTATGGTTCTGTTGAATCCCACCAATCAATCAAAAAACGTTTACCTGGTCAGAAACCGTCAGACCTGGGTGGTTCAATTTTTGACCCGTTTAAATCATCACCCAGCCTTGATTACGGGTTCGGTTCTATTGAAACCCACTATTCAATAAGAAAATGTTGATTTGGTAAAAAACTGTCCAACTTGGGTGGTTTAATCGTTGGCACATCCGATTTAGTCACCAGGTTGCGGGATGCACACTCAATGTATGTGTAAACTTTCGGAGGCCATAGCTTTGCACTTTGATGTCTGGTTAGGGTGATTCTTCTTTTTTTTTATTTTTTTTATGTTGGGTAACTTTTCAAGATCTTTGTGTCTGAAGGCCTTGCTATTTTTGCCAAAAAACTCTTTTTCGGTCTCAAATCGCAAATTGTAATATTTTTTACAGATAAAAAAATAAAAATTGAATTAAAAACATAAATTGACTATAAAATAATACATATATTACGTGTAGAACAAAATTGCTGATGTGGCATGATCTGACCCATTCAACCTGGGCGGTCTAATTGGTGACCACTATGACCTAAAGGCAAAAACGGTTCGACCTCCGGGTCACTTTTTAAAACATTGCATGTTATGAATTATGTCTAATATGTTTGTTTGCAATGCATTTTTATTTCACTAATACAAATTCATGGGAGTGCAAATCAGAAAATTGAAATTTGTTTTTGCTTTGAGTTTTATTTTACTTTATCTACACTACAAATTTGCACTTTCATACTTTTGCATCAGTGCAAACGAAATTGCACTACAAAACAAATAAGTCTAAAAGTGCACCATGCATGAAGCCAAATTGAGACATTGTTTTTTATGCATTTCACTCACACAGTCACACTTTTTCTATTTAATTACTTTATTTTGTTTTCCTTCGTAGAGTGCAACAATTTCCAAAAAATGATATATTTTTTTTTTCTGGTAGAACTATAGGGATGATTTACCTAATATTTTAGGAACCTTCTTCGAAATTAATTATTAGTGACGATTCATTTATCTAATGATATTCGTTTTTTGTTTTTTCTTCTTGTCTATATAATGGATTAGTTTGGGTGTCATTAGAGAGTTGAAAAACTAGTTTTTTTTTTTTCTTTTTCTTTTAAAATTTTCTGGTTGTTCTATAGTTTCCTCCACAAGTCAGGTATTTGTTAATCTTATTACTATTCCACCGTGCGAAGGGAAAATAGGAATTTGGTTCAATTATTATTGTTGTATAGGCTGTGTATGGTTGCAATGGGAATAAATTTGCACTGATACAAACTATAACAGTGCAAATTATTTGAGTATAAATTCTGACCTATTTTAGTTTCAAAATTTAGCTTATTTTGTTTGACGGCATGAAACATAATAAAGTAAAGGGTAAAATATAAAAATCTCCCCTGAAATTTCTGACAATCATAAAACCTCCTCTATAGTTGCACTTTAGCAAAAGCCTCCCTTGTTTATTAAAAAATCTGACAAAAACCTCCTTTCCGTCAATGATCAAGTCAGAAAACGTCAATAGTTACGAAATTACCCCTAAATGTCATTTAATTATTCTGAAAAGTACCATATATATATATATATATATATATATATATATATATTTTCCCTCAAAGGAGCAATATGCTACATTTTCCTTTTAATTTTTGTCAGATTAGAAGAACGTAAACCCTAAAGTTGCAGCGGTGCCAGTGCCAACGGCTACCTCCCCTATTTTTTGTCCCTAAGGCTAATAGGGGATTCAAGGATTTTGGTCTCCGTTACAAAGCAAGAATCCCCACCTCATTTTGCAAAAAATCAGTGTTAAGACATACTGAATAGTGCCAGTGCCAACGGCTACCTCATTGGCTTTGTAACAGGGGTATAATGTCAATGGCTATCTCTCCTTGATTGAAAGTGAGGGAAGAAATCGCCAAAGATGAAGAAAATGGAAAGGAAAAAGAGAGTCAATAGAATTCCTTGAACCCTTGTCCTGCGTTCCTCGAACCCTTTGCTGTGTTCCTCCTACTACACTCCAGACTTGATAATCTGGGATAAGAAAAAAGGGTAAATAGGACGACATGAGAGGAAAAGAGGATAAAATGTCAACAGGAGTATTTTAGCAAAAATAGATGTAAATTAATTTGAAAAAGGGTAAAATAGGTAATTAAAAAAATTGATTCATCAGTTTAATGTTTTCCATCTTGAACATTGACGGAAGGGAGGTTTTTGTCGGGTTTTTTAAAAATCTAAGGAAAGTTTTTGTTAAAACAAAATTATAGGAGAGGTTTTTTATGATTGTCAGTAACTTTAGGGAAAGTTTTTATATTTTACCCTAAAGTAAAATCCAAAACAAAATTAAACAAGAATTTATATTTTTTACATTTATACTCCCATGCATTTGTATTAGTGTAAATTTAAATTTGCACGGCAACCAAACACAACCACATTTTCAAAACATTGCTTTGCGATATGTGTTTGTTTTTTAGTAAAATGGAGAATATATTTTTTTTGGTTTTTTTTTTTTCCTTTTAACACTGAAATGCGTTGTTTTTATGAACAAGAATTCTTTCAATGTTGTTACATTGAAACAAGGAAAAATTTCTGGTTGCGGTTGAGATCTAACAATTTGGTATATAGGATTTGGTGATAACCACTCAATCTGATAAAAGCATTGGACCCATATGAGGAAATTTCTGGTAGAACCAGCTGGCAAATCCATATATGCCTATAATAAAAGAGACAGTTTCATGCTCTTTGCTTTTGTTCTTTCATCAATGATTGAATTTTTCTTTTCCAATATTTACGTCTGTCATTTTTGTTAATACTTACATATCACCCAATTGTCTCGTTATTTTATAGCTATTTCCCCTCTTAGCTTCATGTTGTAAAGGGTGGTGCCACCACCACAAACTACTGCTATATCTGAAACAAACTTACTATTAGTTTCGGTTCTCATCATATTTTCCCACATAGGAAACCAATTTTATCATCAACCATCAAAGAACATAAAAAGGGTAAAAAATTAAGGTTTTTTTTTGCAGTTAAAGGCAACTTTTTGCCCTTAAAAACAATAAACGTTAATATTTTTATATAATAACTAAAATAAGATAGTATTTTTGGAAAAATATCAAAAAAGGGGCGGTAGATCGTCTTCCTCCTCCGCCTGCGAATGTATCCGCTTGGGCTGTGATAATGT